TTTGGATGAATATTTCTCTCAGAATATCTAATTCTGTTTCCAGAACGTCGGGACTACAGATGCGTCGGATGCGGGTAGCAAGTGATTTAATTAAGTTTCGCTTTTGTTGAATGGGCACCCAGCTATAGAAGCTTGTTAGTTGACCATTCCACGTAGGTTTTCTATGGATTGATCTTCTTAGGCTCCCATCAGCTCTTCTTGTCAGTTCCACATCAAGAAACGGAATTTTTGACTCGTTTTCCATTTCAAGAGTGAATTTTATTGCTGGATGGCAATTGTTAAATGTCTTCAGCAGCAGATTGGGGTCGTTGTTGTTGTCACAAATAATGAAAATGTCATCCACGTATCTTTTATACAGTCGCAAATTGTCGATGCTTGGCTTTAGTGAACCTCTCTCGAGGCTTGCCACGAAGCAATCTGATAGTAGTGGACCCAACGGAGATCCCATTGCAATACCATCCTTTTGTCTGTAGATGGTGTCGTTGAATGTGAACTGGACGTTCAGAGTGCATCTCAATAATAGTTCTTTCAAGTATGTTGTCGGTATTCCAATATCGAGGTGGTTGTCATCTATATATCTGCATATGAAGCAGACCGTTTCTGTGAGTGGGACATTGGTGAAAAGTGACTCGATGTCGAAGGACAGCATAATTTTGTTAGATACATTCGTGTCTTGTATGCACTCGATGAACTGGAAGGTGTCACGGAGCGAGTACGTACATAATTGCTTCCTTACAGGTTCCAGAATATCTGCTAGCCATTGTGCAATAGAGTGGTAAGGGGAACCTGACATATCCAGAATTGGACGAAGTGGGAGACCAACCTTGTGTACCTTTGGTAGACCATAAAGTCTTGGTATTATTGAACCTGTTGGCCGGATCTGATCGTAGATATCCCCACTGATTAGTTGACTGGCCTTCATTCTCTTCAAGACATCTGTGAGCTGCTTCTCAATCTGTTCCGTCTTGTTTCTTTCATTGGAAGGTTGGGAAAATTTGTCTTCATTCGACAGTATATCGTTCATTTTCTCGATGTAGTCTCTTCGATTCAGAAGCACTACACCCGCACCCTTGTCGGGTCGAGTTATAAGTAGATCTTTGTTATCTCTCAACTGTTTTAATTCCTCTCGGTGCCGCTTCGTTAGGTGGTTGCGGACTTTTGATTTTGAATTCAAGTATTGGTGGCAGCAGTCCATGATTGTTGACTTGAATCTCTGTAATTCGTCTTCAGAAGTTGGGCTGAGATCGTGCGTTTGGCTGATTAGATTTTCAAACTGGACCTGAGTATGGAGTTTGTCGGAGTTGAAATTTGTATCGCAGAATTTAGGGCCCAGAGATACAAATTTCAACTCCGACAAACTCCATACTCAGGTCCAGTTTGAAAATCTAATCAGCCAAACGCACGATCTCTGCATTGTAGAAGCCCCCCACTGTATACGTCAAAAAGCCGGATCTATGTGTTCAGAAGAAATTAGTCTAACTTCTACATTTACCATGGACTTAGTTCAGTCTCCAAGGTTATTCCATTCACATATGTCCTCCTTAAGAACTATTTTATACTATTACACAACTATTTTCTAATCCTGTGTAACTTCGCTTGTATGCCCAATGTAAGCTATATTCATACCTTCAAATTTTCCCATCAGGTTAACAATTAGTATCACCTTTAATCTTCTTCGTTATTACGTGGAATTGAAGAGTAATAATAATTGTAGCTATGTAAACTTATGTATATAAATGTGATTGCACAGCTGATTTTTTGAGGACACTATCGCCGAAAAGATACCTATTTGCTGAGCTTCTTGTTCTTTTCTCATCGTTGTATTTCCGGAGCTGGACGGTTTGACTGTGAGGCTTTCATTATCCTTCTGCACAACGTTTACATAACTAACTTGAATAATTAAGTAAGCCATGAGAATTTTATTTGGATACAATATGTACCCTAATTTTGAACCCCAGTGGATGCTGAAGAGTCCCAAATTAGGACGAAACAGATGTTCAGTACTTCGTGGTTTCCCAATTATTCTCCAACTGATGTCAACTCATGATCAAACGTGAAAATATGTTTCTCTCCTGGTGGCCATTACTGTGACTGGTTTTCCCTGTAGATTTCCTTTTGATCATATCCGCTTGTCTTGATATCAACCCTCTCGGTGACCTTGTATTTCACCTTATAGTGTAACCTCTTTACTACTGATCGACAGAAATAATCTATACGTTTATTTTTATCAATTGTTAATTCATTTGAGTGCCAGGCTTCTAGAAATTCTCTAGGGTTCTCAATGTATTCTGTGTCTGAAAATCTTACATTTTCCCAATCAAACTGAACTGCTTTGTTGTCCATATGCATTGATATGTAGGGATGCTTGTCATGTCGTTCGACTGTTTGTTTAAGATTATGAATAAAAGGGTGAAGAGGGCGGTCAATTTCACCATTAAAGTGTTTTTTGCATTTCCTACGGTCAATCATCCGACGTTTAGTTATAGATCAAATTTGTAGATCAATTGAATATATGTTCTATTGTAACAACAGAAGACAAGGTCCAGGCAACAGATCGTTTATTGAAAAAATCAACAGATAATTAAAGATTTTTATGCACAACACTATTCGTTATTGTTAGCAGAGAGGTAACGTCTTCTCATTGGTTGTTTTCCTGCTGAGGTTTATTCTGTCATCTCGTTTAGTCGTTTCTTTGAAGGTCAGACCATATATCTGCGAATCGTATCCGCCTACGCCGAGTCCGCTGTGACTGGTTGTTGAGTTCATCAAGGTCAGGCTTCATTCTTGTTTTCTCTCCTGACCCCAATTCGGGACGTAAACATTGACGTCGATTGTTGTCTACAATTTTGTATTGCAGATAGCTCTCACAACAATATGACTTAAAGGTCAGATATCAGTTCAATGAAAAAGGGGGTAATCTATGCGAACAATCAGTCACAATAGAAGTCACCACAAGGAACAGTTGTGTCAATCACAGGGAATTCCAAAAATCCTACTCTGTGTTGAAGTAAGCCTTGGAAATTTTGTCCAGAAAAACAAATGAAGCTTCATATGTAAACTGTCCAGGTCGGAGAACGCAAAAACATGCATTTGAGCTACAATGTGGTGAAAGCTGGCTGCGAAAAAGCCGAAATTGTAAAGAACAATTTACGCCAGTGTTATGTCCCAAATCGCGGTCATGAAAACAACACAATAACAAAGCTTAATCGTTAGGATCTCACCAGCCATTCACGGCAGAATTAGCGTAGGCGGATACGATTCGCAGATGTATGGCTTAACTTTCTGAGAAACGGTCATATGCAGTACAAAATAACCTTCAACAGGAAAAAAACCAATCATAAGACTGCGCTTCTCCGCTGACAACAATGTACATAAAAATCTACAAATACCTGTTGATTTTCTCAATAAACGATCTATTTTCTTGCCCTAGTCTTCTGTCGTTACAACAAATCTACTCCATTATTTCAGCTATTATTTACCATTCTAATCAATTATTGAAAAATATATAACCCCATCCGAATGGTAGGTGGTGGAATATAGTGACGCGAAATACGCCTGTTTGTCAATTTGTCAACGGTTTATGACATGCGTGTCAGGGGAACCAAGTGTCTGTCTCATGTCTCAGTAGGTGGATCAATTTTCGCAATTCTTTGATCTGTAGTCCGACCGATAGCGGCTTCTCTGATTTTGGTGATCAGATTTACTGGTTGTAGTCACCTAATAAGCTACATTGACCGGAACGAATGTTCCTGCAGGTGCTACTATGCCACAAATGTTGTTTGGATAGCGACTAGTCTAGAAGCAGTTTCCAACCTAGTGTAAATTGTTTATAGTATGTTAAGCGTTTGAGGGCAAGGTCGAATTGCTGGAAAGTAGGGATGTAGCAAAAGACGAGCAGCTACGTCGCCTCTCTGTTCTGAGGAGTGTAGCTTAGATAGGGTAGTAGGCTGACTTCAAGATCTTCGTATGGACATAAATCGAAACACTATTTCAAACGGGCTGGCCAAAAGTATTTTTCACCTGGGCGTTGCAGCTATATTTTCTTTATTGTTCCCTTGGGTCCCGAGTGGTAGATAGGGCTTCAACAGTACATATCGATTTTGCCATATCTTCCGCGGTCCTTTTTACCTTACCCTACAATTGCCTATAATGAATCATCTACTCCTCTCCCGATCTACTTCATGTCACCCTCGGACCGATGCACAGCTCGTTTCCCATTCATTCTCCACTTGAGGTTGTGCTTGGCGCGAAGTGTTCTTCGACGGTCTCCTCAGCTTGCATCCTACCTATCTCTATTTTCTTGGGAATGGAATATTTGTTTATCAATAGGTTATTGATTGGTGTCTTCCTAGAGTTTGTTGTTCCCGATTCTTTCTGGCCAGTCATTTGATCTTCAATATGGTGCCAGGGAATCGAGCAGCTGTTGATAAAAGTGTGCATGTCGTTGTTGGAAATGCTTTCCATAACACCTAAGCCATACTTCCGCCGCGTACAGAAGAAGTGACTGTCTTAAGATTGGTGTTGAAAGCCTGAACCTTCGTGTTGTTTATGCTGCTGACTGCAGTAGATTTCCTGTCTGATTTCAGAGTGGTGAAGCTGTGGATTCTGTCTAGCTATGACATCCCCATCAGTGCCGTCTGCATGTAGTTGAAACGATGTTGCCTAGATGAGTGAAAGACGCGAAGTCTTCCAAATTTATTCAGTCGATAGTGATTGGTGCTGTTGGTTGATTATCTGCATCATCTCCGACTTCTCTATGTTCACCTGGATTTCTGTCTTCGCTGTCAGCCTCTTCAACCAGTAGATCTTCGAAACTGTATAACACCAGACATATGTTGTCGGTGAAGTCCAACTCTTTTAGAGTCTTCTTATCGGTTAGACATATTCCTGTCTGTTCTAGCTCCCCACACAGTTTTCGGCAGTTAATTTCCTAAATCTCACATTTCATTGTTTTCTTGGTTTGACTGTTTCCCTTCGTTTCTCTGCCTCATCTTTTAAAGGTATTTACAAATGGCTGATTACAAATCAAACAGTCGTGATGATGTTGACGATAATGAAAAAGCACTGGAAGAATTCGACAACTGGCTGTCAAACACTTCATCTACCTATTCCACTACTCATCCTGGAAGAAATTACTTAAAAATTGCTACAAATTTAAAATCAGGCCAACGTGGTCTAATTGCTTGTTGTAATATCAATGCTAATCAGTGTATTTACTCTATCCCGCTGAAGGATCTACGTTATATTCTCACTCCACTAAGATGCACTTTTCTCCTGAATACATGTCAATGTTTTCTTACGAAAGAGTTTAAACAAAACCACAAAATTCAGTTAAATTCATTTGATATTCTTGTCACATTTATCTATCATTGTAAGTATCCAAGTAGTGCGCAAAGAGATTGTTTTATACAGAATATTTGGTCACCGTATATCAATGTTCTACCAAATCGTTATCCAAATCCTGTATCATATATTCTATCGTCTACTGATTATAATAACAGTAGTATATTCAATGCGAACTGCACAACAAGCTCTTCGCCTTATTTTCATTCCTATGACATCAATATAGCCTTTAGAAATATATTAAAACGCGTAACAAAATCATGGCATAATCTTAAACCTCTGTTGTGTCATATTACCAATCAAGATGAGCATACAAGCGATACACCGTCGAATGAATTTCTATGGGCATGGTTTACTGTCAATTCTCGGTGTGTTTCATGCCCCATGAAACAAGAGTCAATCTTAAATATTCAACAATTTTTTCAAGCCTTGTTTAAATCTTATTCACAAAGTGAAAGACGTATTTTGAACATGATTATTGAGAATATTATTCAACTGAAAGATGATACTACTTCTACTACTACTACTAATACTGATGATAATAATAATGATGGGGCACATACAATTGCTCTAATACCATTTTTTGATTTTTTCAATCATAATCCAAATATTGCTACTAACACTAGGTTGATTTTATCAAACGATACTAATACATTGGAATTATATTTAGATCAAGAAGTTTCTGAAAATGAACAGGTGAATGTTTATATTTTGTGTGCAAAGATGGTGTATTATTTACTTGATATTATGGCTAATGATCTGTAGAGGAATCCTTGATAGGCGTATTATTTGTCTCCTCGTAACAACAGAATAAAAGGGACCAGACAACATATCGTTTATTGGGGAAATCAACAGATATTTATAGATTTTTATGTACATTATTATTAGCGTTATTGTTAGCAGAGAGGTAGCGTCTTCGGATTGGTTGTCTTCCTGCTGAAGGTTATTCTGTCATCTCTTTGTGGCCGTTTCTTAGATAGTCCGGTGATATATATCTGCGATTCGTGTGTGTGCTACTGACAAGACTTATGAGTAGTATGTAAAAGACGTTAATTACCACGCAAAAATATCAAATAGTCGAGAGATAGATTTGATGTGAAGAATAGGAAGTGAACCATTATTTCGGTGAAACATGGGAGATATGAAAAAATGACAGAGAAACGCACTACGAAGGAAGGAATCACCACAGCACGGAAGATGATCGTATTTTCAAACTGCCATGCTTATATTCTACATTTTTACCGTTCCCATTCTTGCTATCTCACTGTACTCATGCATACTAATATATCCATACGTAGCATTTCCAGTTTGCCTACATCGTGTTATTTACGACACTTAATTCTCGTAGATAATCACCCGCCGTACTTGTTCTCCGTAACTGAGGAACAACAATAAATGGAAACGTTACTTTGCGACCACCAATATAAACGCTGAAATTGAAAGTGCCTACGACTTTTAACACGAGACCCCCTGCTGTCTGGGCTGCCAATGAACACGGTCTGACAATATAGCGTAGATTTGCGTCTACAAGTGAGATTACCGCCCCTGTATCTACTAAACATACAAAATCTCTGTCATTAACTCAAAACCTAGAATACATTGCCCCCGTCCCGATCGCAGCCATTAGTTGTAGTCTTATAGCGAGAAGAAAGAACACTCATTATATTGCTTAAGTTTTTACTATTACTGTCTTTTGAAGAGCAGTATTTCCTCCGGTGTCCCATTTTGCCACATTCAGGACGCTTGTCTCTTCTGACGCTCATTCTTAGCACCCCTACTTCCTGCTGCAAATCTGCAATTTCTTGTTCCCGTTGGTTCGTTTTTGGTGGCTATTGCGGGTACCGTTTTGCTCAATGGCTGTCTGGTCACCTTTGCTAGTTGACCAATGTCCACGGGTTGTAAAGCATTAACTAGTTATAACTGCTGAGAAAGGTGGTCTGGAACACTGTCGACGAACTGGAAAGTCAATAACTGGAACACTGACTCTTGATCAAATGTGGAGGAGAGGGCGCGCGACGAAGCATATTTGTCGGCTTCAACTCCGACACTGATGTGTCTCCACCAGGTCCCAGCTTCGTGGTACGGAAGTTCTGCATTGTCAGTCGTCTACCCGTCAGGATCTTGAACTACGCCACTAATCGTTCAAACAACACCTTCCGGTACTCTTTACCACCTGACCTGTCCACACTGTCATGTGCTGCCTTTGACCGACCTCACAGCAGCGTTCTCAGAACAACCGCCTTCGGATCCTTGAAGTTCAAGAAGTCAGGCAGGGCATCAAAGTCCATCAAAAAGTTCCGTACTTCTCCCTCTTCAAAAGCGGCCACCAATGGGATCTTCATTCTCTGGAGGCAGCGACACCAAATCTAACGGCAGAAGACAAGACTGGAGGGTAACGCAATGTTTATTTGTCATTCAATACACACAAATAAAGAAATTAAATCTACTACACGTTAAAATCGTCATTTGCACACATCTCTCGTGTTGCGTTAATTATGTCCTTCGTATTGTGTTTCTTTGTCCTCCTTTCATGTCTTCCAGGTTTTGCCGCAATATTGGTTCATTTCTTCTTTTTCACTTCAAATATATCTCTCAGCTGTTTGACGATTTTGTGTTAAGCAATGGCTGTTTACACTACACTGACAAGTTTTTTCAGTAGCACACGCTACATATAAGGGGACAGAAATGAAATGTGGGTACGTCGATGCCTCATTTCTAGTAGAACAATCGACAACCATGCCTCGCGTGGTCTAGAGATTGATCATCGGCGGATACACACCTCATCCTCGCTTGGCCGGTAATGAGATCGGAAAAGGCAGAAGGTTGTACATAAAAAAGACTACCAACTCGACCCCTTGAATAAAACAACTCTGCTAACGAAAATTCTAAACCCCAGTTTGAAGCCCTACGTGTGTGTGTGTGTCTGTGTCCAGGAGTGAAGATGTAAACGAAAATCTGAACTGTACCGACCGTATTGGAATCATAGATATTTGCGTTGAATAATTCCTATTTTTAAGTTATCTGAGGACTTTAAGTTCTTGAGAGTTGAGTTGTATGTGTTGTGTTTTTTTGTTCAACTATGAGTACGATTGTTAGGCATATCTCCTCTTGTGTTTCTGCATTTAACTCTCGTGGTTTGAGTGATGATTCAAGGAGACCGAAGAAATCAGTTTTTGAATCATCCTCAGTGTTGTAGTTAAATCCGTCAAGGAGCAGTTGCTCTTCCATTTTCGATAGTGATTACTTTGATAAGTCGACTACGCAGTAGATTAGTGTATTGTTCAGTTGTTGTTTTAAGAACTTTTCGTCTTTGTTTTCTGTGTCTTCTACTTAACTCTGTAATCATAGCGATCAACGTTGAAAGGTGTCTCTAGCTCTGGGTGTCTTCTCTACTTCTTTCTCCCTTTTGGATATCCATTATTTGTTGATATTTCTTGATACCATAGTGTACATCTGTAAGCATTAATTCGACCATTCGTTTTCTACATTGTTCAGTCAAGTTCCCCCTCATTGAGCAAATAAAAGCCAGCTATACCCGCTGTTCCCAGCTGGTCACTTATGTAAGTACTAATTGGGCCCAACATTGCTTAACTTCGGCAATCGGAGAAGAACTGGTGTTCAATATTTTATCTTCGCTATTAAATCTCCAACATATCTCCACTATTCTATATTCTTGCAGATAATGTGCATATGTATATCCATATTTGTGATATTTTTGTGAATCTTGTCAGCGGGACCCACCACTGTTCAACCCTTAGCATCTTTCAGATACATTAAACTCACATTATCCTCCTTCTTATTTTGCCTTCTAACTTTGAGTGCTGTCAGCATGGAGTGTGTCGACTTTAAACACAGGGGTGATTTTGTGCAAAATTCTATTCTGAAATATAAATTGAATTCAGTTCATTTCTCTTTCCCTCTCTCTCATCTCTGTGTGTCTGTTTTCAACATAGAACTTTGTACCGATGTGCAGCAGTTCAAGTCGCCACACTCCCTCCATGTAGCACACAGAGCAGGAGAAAAAAGTAGAAATGCAAAATAGAGACAGTAGACAGGGATATGAGACAAGAAGAGTAGTAATAACGAAGAACAATATAGTTTGATTGGGCATTATAAGTCACAAGTAGTGGATGCATCTGCGCCAGCCAATGGAAACGATTTTGAGCTATATCACCAATTGTCCCCAGCCATCGGTGTTTACCGTCCCGAGGACTCCAACCAGCCAGGAAGTCTACATTTTCCTACGTGACTGGCTTAAACTAATTGTTGTGGATTTCATTGACTAATGAGACCATGTTTTTTGATTCGACCACCGCTGTCTCTTTTCCAACCTGATCCATCGTATGTCAGCTAACATTGCCTATTGTTCAGGAAGGTGATGGCTGGTCGTGTATGCGCAACACATGTCCTAACCATCTCAATCGATATAACTTCACAGCTTCGTCGATTAATTTCGACTGTTTAACTAGGACTCGACGCCTAACCTCAGTATTGCCTACCCTACTATACCACTTCACACGGGAGATAGAACACGTTCATATTGGAACATTGGGCTTCAAGATTTGCACTTTGAAGTTATAGTAGCAGTGGCACAAGATGTTGTTCTCTTTTACAGGGTGTAGTTGCTAGTCTCTCACACACACAAACTAGCCTCTTCCTCTGACTTACTAGTGGGGTTAGTGAATTAGGCGAATTTCAGGAGTACATCGCCAACAGGGAAAATTGAATCCCGGATCACGTGAGGCTTGGTTGACCAGCAGTCTACCACTGAGACGTCGATTCACAATTTACTTCATATTCTCACCATAAAATATTGTCTATTTATCTCTAAAATGCATATATCTAACTTTTATAAGTTAACATCTCAAAAGTGTTGATGGTGACAGTGATGATAATACGAAGTGTTGACTTACCTTGAAAACGTATTCTAATTTGGTCCTTCTCTCTATTTCGTCTATTCACTAATTCTATAGGTTTTTATCAATTATGGTCCACATGACAATTTAACGCTATTCACTGAATATGGATTCAGTCTTCCTCATTTGGAAGCGAATGCTACAACAACAACAACTACTACTACTAATGATGTCATTTATTTAAGTTCTTGTTTTCTCATAGACTTATTTATTCAGTTATATAGTGAAATAAAAGTGACAACATATCCTCCATCTGTCATTCCTCCTCGTCCTCTACCTTCAACAACAACAACAACTGCTGCTGCTTCCACTTCTACAACTACTTCCTTCTCTTCAGTGTCTAGTAGTCATCTGTCGCCATCCACTTCCCAGAGAAGTGAATATAAATCAGAAGGTGACCAACAATCGGATATTGTCATTATGATGCGTGAATATTTCTACTTAATTCTTGCTAAATTACACCTTCCTCAGCCGAAAACTTCATCGATTCAAGACGACATTCTATGGAAATCTGTTTATGTATCCAACAGTGTTGATTTGCATAACTCATCGTATTATCTAAGTTTAATATTATTCTTAATGTATACAACATTTATCACTGGTACTACTACTGATAATCATAATAATAATGATAATATTAGTAAGCAGAATCACCGATCTCTTGATGACATCTTCAACATCTCAGAAGATTTGATCTCAACAACTATTCAACCAGTATTAAATAGGATTTATACACTTCTGTTAGACAACATAAAGTGCGATCGTGAGAAAATTTTACATCTTCTGAAATCATCTCTAGAAGCGCAAGGACGAGTAACAAGAACGCCGACAACAACCCAACCGTCTTGTACAGTGAATGATTTTTGTAAGGAATTTTTATACTATTTAGAACAACGTGAATGTTTTGTTCAAGGTTTAATGATGAATTAATAAACATTTTCATTATTGATTGCCTTCTGCATAATCTAGTGAGCACAACAGATTAATTCTGGACAGTGTTTATGTGATGTGTAGAGTTTGCTATTCGAGCAGAAATAAGCGAAAAATGGTTATAGGAGTTATTAAAAAGACAATTGCAGCGAAGAAAATTTTCTTTTCGAGGAAGTCATCATCTAGACTGTATATTCATTCGTGTATTTATATCAAATGCACGGGAAAGTTCCAGAATAATTTCCGGTTAAGGGTCAAACTAGTAAAAATTACAATTAGGAATTAGAATGCCATAATAAACAGGGAGACGGATAAAACTCAAACAAAGTAGCATCATAATAACTAAGAAGATTGACATTGTGCAATTGGGGGTTAGAAATGTAGAAATAACAAAATAGACAGGATGTTTGGATAAAAAATCTAATGTGATGAATAATTGTTTATGCAATCAGGGATTAAATATGTATAAATAGTGAAATGACAAAATAAACACGAAGTTCAGATATGAAAATATGGTAGTGTAAACAGGGATTAAGAAAAACCTAAAATAACACGAATAAACAGGAAGTTTAGATAAGAAAGGCGATGGGATGGTCATTACTAGAAAAAAATTCACCTATTTATGATGACCATGGCAGGGACAGGGGCTAGACGTGTTTCTTCTGGATACAAAGCGTGGATCTGAGCATTTGGATAGCTAGCGCCTCAGCTACGCCCAGATGTCTTGATTTCACTCTCTTTGATAGGTTTGACTGAATCTTGTACATTACTTTGAGGGATTTTTCGAAAGGCGCTGAATGTCCTGAATTGACCAGATGTTTTGTCACTGAACGGTATACACCTTCTTAGTCTCCTTTTACTAGCCAGGCTAGGTAGTGTTCACGAGCGCGTTTTTCAAGTCGGCGCATTGTACTCAGCTCCACAAGAGCGAGTGAACTGGTATATGCACGTTGAGGTGGCCCAATGCGACAGCTTGTCTTTCGCGTTCTGGCTCAACAGTTTCTCTCAGGAAAACGTCAGTCGTAGGCTCGCGGCGATTACGGAGGATTTCTGCTTAATGTCACCTTTGAATTCTAGATTAAGCAGAAGCATTTTTTTGGGATGGATTAGACTTGTTTGAAAGTCTCCTTAGATTTGCGATTCTTGCCTATGAACCTGGGCGGGAGACCGTTTCCCATCAGGGTTTTCCGGAGATTACGCAGTTCTTCTTCAATCACTTCCTCGCTGCATATCTTCCGAATCCACGAGGAAAGAGCGTATATCAGGTTCCCGTGTCTGCTTAGGGGCACGAAGCTTTGAAAGTTGATGAATTTTCCATTCCATGTAGGCTTTTGTATATGGACCTTTTGAGAGAGCTGTTGGCGTTCCTTGTCAGATGGACGTCGAGGAAGTCGAACATTCCGTCGGATTCAGTCTCAAGTGTAAAGTCGATGCTGGGGTGGGTGTTACTGAAGATTTGAAGTAGGTTTTTTAAATCACAATTCTCATCACAAATAATGAAAGTATCATTGATGTATCTCTTGTAGAGACGGAGCTCGTTGATAGTTGGTGATAAGGGGTTGTTTTCTAAGCCAACCATAAAGCAGTCGGCTAGGCGGGAAAAATGGTTAATTAATGTTTAAAATGGGAAATATTGCGGAAATTATCGTTGAAGTGGCATGGCAGTTTGAAAATACGATCATCTTCCGTGCTGTGCTGATTCCTTCCTTCGTAGTGCGTTTCTCTGTCATTTTTTCATATCTCCCATGTTTCACCGAAATAATGGTTCACTTCCTATTCTTCACATCAAATCTATCTCTCGACTATTTGATATTTTTGCGTGGTAATTAACGTCTTTTACATACTACTCATAAGTCTTGTCAGTAGCACACACACGAATCGCAGATATATATCACCGGACTATCTAAGAAACGGCCACAAAGAGATGACAGAATAACCTTCAGCAGGAAGACAACCAATCCGAAGACGCTACCTCTCTGCTAACAATAACGCTAATAATAATGTACATAAAAATCTATAAATATCTGTTGATTTCCCCAATAAACGATATGTTGTCTGGTCCCTTTTATTCTGTTGTTACGAGTAGACAAATAACACGCCTATCAAGGATTCCTCTACAGATCATTAGCCATAATATCAAGTAAATAATACACCATCTTTGCACATAAAATATAAACATTCACCTGTTCATTTTCAGAAACTTCTTGATCTAAATATAATTCCAATGTATTAGTATCGTTTGATAAAATCAACCTAGTGTTAGTAGCAATATTTGGATTATGATTGAAAAAATCAAAAAATGGTATTAGAGCAATTGTATGTGCCCCATCATTATTATTATCATCAGTATTAGTAGTAGTAGTAGAAGTAGTATCATCTTTCAGTTGAATAATATTCTCAATAATCATGTTCAAAATACGTCCTTCACTTTGTGAATAAGGTTTAAACAAGGCTTGAAAAAATTGTTGAATATTTAAGATTGACTCTTGTTTCATGGGGCATGAAACACACCGAGAATTGACAGTAAACCATGCCCATAGAAATTCATTCGACGGTGTATCGCTTGTATGCTCATTTTGATTAGTATTATGGTACAACAGGGGTTTAATATTATGCCATGATTTTGTTACGCGTTTTAATATATTTCTAAAGGCTATATTGATATCATAGGAATGAAAATAAGGCAAAGAGTTTGTTGTGCAGTTCGCATTGAATATACTACTGTTATTATAATCAGTAGACGATAGAATATATGATACAGGATTTGGATAACGATTTGGTAGAACATTGATATACGGTGACCAAATATTCTGTATAAAACAATCTCTTTGCGCACTACTTGAATATTTACAATGATAGATAAATGTGACAAGAATATCAAATGAATTTAACTGGATTTTGTGGTTTTGTTTAAACTCATTCGTAAGAAAACATTGACATGTATTCAGGAGAAAAGTGCATCTTAGTGGAGTGAGAATATAACGTAGATCCTTCAGCAGGATAGAGTAAATACACTGATTAGCATTGATATTACAACAAGCAATTAGACCACGTTGGCCTGATTTTAAATTTGTAGCAATTTTTAAGTAATTTCTTCCAGGATGAGTAGTGGAATAGGTAGATGAAGTGTTTGACAGCCAGTTGTCGAATTCTTCCAGTGCTTTTTCATTATCGTCAACATCATCACGACTGTTTGATTTGTAATCAGCCATTTGTAAATACCTTTAAAAGACGAGGCAGAGAAACGAAGGGAAACAGTCAAACCAAGAAAACAATGAAATGTGAGATTTAGGAAATTAACTGCCGAAAACTGTGTGGGCAGCTAGAACAGACAGGAATATGTCTAACCGATAAGAAGACTCTAAAAGAGTTGGACTTCACCGACAACATATGTCTGGTGTTATACAGTTTCGAAGATCTACTGGTTGAAGAGGCTGACAGCGAAGACAGAAATCCAGGTGAACATAGAGAAGTCGGAGATGATGCAGATAATCAACCAACAGCACCAATCACTATCGACTGAATAAATTTGGAAGACTTCGCGTCTTTCACTCATCTAGGCAACATCGTTTCAACTACATGCAGACGGCACTGATGGGGATGTCATAGCTAGACAGAATCCACAGCTTCACCACTCTGAAATCAGACAGGAAATCTACTGCAGTCAGCAGCATAAACAACACGAAGGTTCAGGCTTTCAACACCAATCTTAAGACAGTCACTTCTTCTGTACGCGGCGGAAGTATGGCTTAGGTGTTATGGAAAGCATTTCCAACAACGACATGCACACTTTTATCAACAGCTGCTCGATTCCCTGGCACCATATTGAAGATCAAATGACTGGCCAGAAAGAATCGGGAACAACAAACTCTAGGAAGACACCAATCAATAACCTATTGATAAACAAATATTCCATTCCCAAGAAAATAGAGATAGGTAGGATGCAAGCTGAGGAGACCGTCGAAGAACACTTCGCGCCAAGCACAACCTCAAGTGGAGAATGAATGGGAAACGAGCTGTGCATCGGTCCGAGGGTGACATGAAGTAGATCGGGAGAGGAGTAGATGATTCATTATAGGCAATTGTAGGGTAAGGTAAAAAGGATCGCGGAGGATATGACGAAATCGATATGTACTGTTGAAGCCCTATCTACCACTCGGGACCCAAGGGAACAATAAAGAAAATATAGCTGCAACGCCCAGGTGAAAAATACTTTTGGCCAGCCCGTTTGAAATAGTGTTTCGATTTATGTCCATACGAAGATCTTGAAGCCAGCCTACTACCCTATCTAAGCTACACTCCTCAGAACAGAGAGGCAACGTAGCTGCTCGTCTTTTGCTACATCCCTACTTTCCAGCAATTCGACCTTGTCCTCAAACGCTTAACATACTATAAACAATTTACACTAGGTTGGAAACTGCTTCTAGACTAATCGCTATCCAAACAACATTTGTGGCATAGTAGCACCTGCAGGAACATTCGTTCCGGTCAATGTAGCTTATTAGGTGACTACAACCAGTAAATCTGATCACCAAAATCAGAGAAGCCGCTATCGGTCGGACTACAGATCAAAGAATTGCGAAAATTGATCCACCTACTGAGACATGAGACAGACACTTGGTTCCCCTGACACGCATGTCATAAACCGTTGACAAATTGACAAACAGGCGTATTTCGCGTCACTATATTCCACCACCTACCATTCGGATGGGGTTATATATTTTTCAATAATTGATTAGAATGGTAAATAATAGCTGAAATAATGGAGTAGATTTGTTGTAACGACAGAAGACTAGGGCAAGAAAATAGATCGTTTATTGAGAAAATCAACAGGTATTTGTAGATTTTTATGTACATTGTTGTCAGCGGAGAAGCGCAGTCTTATGATTGGTTTTTTTCCTGTTGAAGGTTATTTTGTACTGCATATGACCGTTTCTCAGAAAGTTAAGCCATACATCTGCGAATCGTATCCGCCTACGCTAATTCTGCCGTGAATGGCTGGTGAGATCCTAACGATTAAGCTTTGTTATTGTGTTGTTTTCATGACCGCGATTTGGGACATAACACTGGCGTAAATTGTTCTTTACAATTTCGGCTTTTTCGCAGCCAGCTTTCACCACATTGTAGCTCAAATGCATGTTTTTGCGTTCTCCGACCTGGACAGTTTACATATGAAGCTTCATTTGTTTTTCTGGACAAAATTTCCAAGGCTTACTTCAACATAGAGTAGGAGTTTTGGAATTCCCTGTGATTGACACAACTGTTCCTTGTGGTGACTTCTATTGTGACTGATTGTTCGCATAGATTACCCCCTTTTTCATTGAACTGATATCTGACCTTTAAGTCATATTGTTGTGAGAGCTATCTGCAATACAAAATTGTAGACAACAATCGACGTCAATGTTTACGTCCCGAATTGGGGTCAGGAGAGAAAACAAGAATGAAGCCTGACCTTGATGAACTCAACAACCAGTCACAGCGGACTCGGCGTAGGCGGATACGATTCGCAGATATATGGTCTGACCTTCAAAGAAACGACTAAACGAGATGACAGAATAAAACTCAGCAGGAAAACAACCAATGAGAAGACGTTACCTCTATGCTAACAATAACGAATAGTATTGTGCATAAAAATCTTTAATTATCTGTTGATTTTTTCAATAAACGATCTGTTACCTGGACCTTGTCTTCTGTTGTTACAATAGAATATATATTCAATTGATCCACAAATTTGATCTATAACTAAACGTCGGATGATTGACCGTAGGAAATGCAAAAAACACTTTAATGGTGAAAGTGAACGCCCTCTTCACCCTTTTATTCATAATCTTAAACAAACAGTCGAACGACATGACAAGCATCCCTACATATCAATGCATATGGACAACAAAGCAGTTCAGTTTGATTGGGAAAATGTAAGAATCTCAGACCCAGAATACATTGAGAACCCTAGAGAATTTCTAGAGGCCTGGCACTCAAATGAATTCACAATTGATAAAAATAAACGTATAGATTATTTTTGTCGATCAGTAGTAAAGAGGTTACACTATAAGGTGAAATACAAGGTCACCGAGAGGGTTGATATCAAGACAAGCGGATATGATCAAAAGGAAATCTACAGGGAAAATCAGTCACAGTAATGGCCACCAGGAGAGAAACATATTTTCACGTTTGATCATGAGTTGACATCAGTTGGAGAATAATTGAGAAACCACGAAGTACTGAACATCTGTTTCGTCCTAATTTGAGACTCTTCAGCATCCACTGGGGTTCAAAATTAGGGTACATATTGTATCCAAGTAAAATTCTCATGGCTTACTTAATTATTCAAGTTAGTTATGTAAACGTTGTGCAGAAGGATAATGAAAGCCTCACAGTCAAACCGTCCAGCTCCGGAAATACAACGATGAGAAAAGAACAAGACGCTTAGCAAATAGGTATCTTTTCGGCGATAGTGTCCTCAAAAAATCAGCTGTGCAATCACATTTATATACATAAGTTTACATAGCTACAATTATTATTACTCTTCAATTCCACGTAATAACGAAGAAGATTAAAGGTGATACTAATTGTTAACCTGATGGGAAAATTTGAAGGTATGAATATAGCTTACATTGGGCTTACAAACGAAGTTACACAGGATTAGAAAATAGTTGTGTAATAGTATAAAATAGTTCTTAAGGAGGACATATGTGAATGGAATAACCTTGGAGCCTGAACTAAGTCCATGGTAAATGTAGAAGTTAGACTAATTTCTTCTGAACACATAGATCCGGCTTTTTGACGTATACAGTGGGGGGCTTCTACAATGCAGAGAACTCGGAGTCACACACTGTCTTTGGTAGATTTTTGTTTACTCTGAGATTGAATCTGAATGATGATTCAGTTGAAATGTTGTCGCAGCTGTTGATGAGGTGTTCACAATTATAGTGCTTTTGATTGAACCAAAGACTCCTCTTTGCACCAATGCTGAATGATGAACTCTAATACGTTTTCAAAGGATGCACATACAACGACCTCTATACCAAGTTCATGAGGAGCAGGTGAATTGTTCTTCTTGTTCTTTTCCCTCTTATGTCTTCATTGTTATTTTCCACAATATGAAAAGAATAAGAGTTGGTTAAAAAGTTGAAACTTATGCGTATGAATGGTGCGTACTCATGAAACTTAATGACTGATTCACTCTAGTTGGATCTTCACTATTATTTTCAAATACAACTAAGTGATAAGCAAACCGATAGATGATTAATTGTTCATCTTCAATCCTCATTCAACAGAAATAAAACAGTCGTTTATTTATAAAAAGTTGAAATTACAATAATATAAATACTAAATACATGTCTGAAGATGTACAGTCAGTCAACGGTGAGAGCAAAGGTCACTACTTAGTTAGTCAGTTAATTATCCAGTACATCAGATTATGAACCAATCAGTTATTGTGGTCAGAGGTGATTTCACTATCTAGTTACTCAAGCTGAAGTGGGTTGAGTGGGCCTCAAACCCAGTGCTTGTCGACTGGAAGTTGAGTGGTTGAGCCAACGGACTACATATGAAGATATCACTTCTCACTCCGATATCATCTCTCCACCCCAATAATGTCGAATGATTGCCCAATACCAAAATGCAAACAGGAAAATCACTTACGAAGAAAGAAATTGGCTTGACGTGTGTGTGTGTGTAAACACACGCCATTTATCTTATACTATGAAGATTCATTATTATATATTAACTGGTTCAGTCTTATTATTCCATATTAGCCGGTCTAATCTCAATACTGCCCTGCTATGGATGCGATTCCAACTAACAAGAGGAATACACTGAGAACACACATATAGTCGAAAACAACATAATGTCGACTAAATGCACGAAAAGTTTATTTAGCCAGGCATCACTAACAATGGATCTTATATGACTACTTCGCCCTGGAAGTTAGTATATCACAAACCTACACACCAGAGGAGAACATCATAAGAGTGGAAAGTGTGAAATAAACGGTAAATATTATCAGACAAGAACAAAGAAGAGGAAATTAGTGAAAACAAGGAGGAGAATTGTGGTTTACGGCTGAGATGAATAGGGTATGTGTGTGGGATATAAAGGTGGTCAACTATGAATCGAAACAAGTTAGAGTTAAAAATCATCGCTTTCAACAGTTCTCAACGACTGAAGCCTTAGATTTCATAATTTCCCCTAACTACTTTAGACGAACAGT